TCCTCCTGGAAAAAAAATTTGTAACTACGACTATTGGGCCAGATAGCAAGGGTGCAATTTACTGTGTTACTGCAAATCTCTTCATTGGAACAAAACAGTGACTAATTCATGTAAACAGAGCAATTAGTAACTTATGTCAACAGACAACTGCTAATTTCATGTGAACAGACCAATGATTAATCTATGTGAGCTTAGCAACCTGAGTCAACAGAACAATGACTAATTCATGTGAACAGAACAATGACTAATTCATGTGAACAGAATGATTAATTTACATGAAAAGAACAATGATTTATGTGAACAGAACACAGACATATAATGAATTCATGTGAACAGAACAATGACTAATTCAACAGAATAATTATTAATTTGCATGGACAGATCCATACCAACAGAACATTACTAACTCCTGTAAACAGAACAATGACTAACTAAAGAAACACATGGTAACCACATGCAGACATACATTCCATATCACATAAAATTAAGTCTCTCAATGCCAGGAGAAGTAAAAGTGAAGAAATAACCATGATGAAAATCAGGAGTGCATTACTTTCAAACTGACAATATACCATGGGTTGGTGACTATCAGAAAAGCCAGGTTTCTTAAGTATGTTCTCAATAAATGTAACAATAAAGAGAACACATCATGCTATGGGATGAAGTCAATGGGTAAAGTCAGTCACGCATCAGGTGTTGCTTCCGACTGAAAGAGGTAAAGCAGTGATTCCCAAACTGTGCGCCCCAAATTCTTCATGGGGGCGCAGTGAAAGCTTGGTGCAAATGAATGGAGGCAGGTGATATCTGCAGCAATGAACCTCAAGGGATCGGAATGCTGAAGAAGAAGAAGATAATTAATTTAACCAAGACACAAATAGTATACTTTTACTTCGGTTAGGGTGTCGCGGACAAATTTCAACTGAAAAAAAAAATGTGCCGCCACCAAGAAAAGTTTGGAAAACACTGAAGTAATGTAATAAGTAAAGAGAAGCAATGACTAGCATGCAGCCAATGGTTCTTTTCCATAATCCAGGTCAATTTTTAAAACTGACGTGGGCTCCCCTCTATATATTGCAGGGATTACCTGGTACTCATTTTAGGCTGGGTCAACCTGGGAAATTATTTATACTTCATTTACATGCAACAGACTTGAGGTTGTCTTTACATGCAGCTGATACCAGAATAAAACAGTCACTAATCACTAAAATATACAAGCATTAGAAATGCGATTTTTCAGAACAATTCTTGGCATATCATACAGAACACATTACAAACGAAGAGGTTTGCCATATAATTATACAGCACACTGGCAACTATGAACCTCTTTTAACTACAGTGAAAAGGCGAAAAATGCTATGGTATGGACATGTAATAAGACCTAACAGCCTCTCAAAAACAATACTGCAGGGCTCAGTAGAGAGAAAGAGAAGAAGAGGCAGACAAAGAAAGACCTGTTACAGAACCTGATTGACTGGACAGGCCTCAGGCATGCAACCATAAAGCCCATCCCAACTGACCGCCCATGGTGGAGAGAGCTATCAGACAGTCAACAGAAACTGGTGACCCAACGACAGGTAGTGTCACAAGATGATGATGATGATGAATCCCTAACAACCCATCTCAATTTCACAAACAAACAATCTCTACAAACAATAGACCCAATGATGGCGATGGTCCTCATATGCAGCCAGTCTCAGAATAAAGTTCATAAATACACAATAATTACCCCAAAAAAAGACTTCATTATGGTCCTTACATGCAATAAATTCAGAATAAATTGGATAGTTTCAAATATCTCATCGCAAGTTCACAAACACACAATAATTACAAGAGAAACATCTCTTCATAACCCAACATTAATTAGCTGGGTATACAACATATTACAACAGTTACAAGCCCCATAAACTTACTTAGTTATACTTTCGTGCTGTTACAAGCAGTCAGTCGCAAGCAAAATGCTACATTAACCAATCCCAAATTAAATTATAAATACTGGGCTATGGACACAAAAGCTGTTGACCTGCAGAAACTTTCACACAATTGCTGTGACCAGCAATCTGCCACCTGCATTATACTGCACTAACAATCTTGATTTAAATACTCTGCGCTGGCTGGTTAGGATGTGGATGGAGTGTGTATGGGAATGCCCAAATGTCAATTCTTGACTCAACACAACTCAATTCTCAATTTAAATGACAAACTCTGGGTTAAGGACAAGCAGCTGATCTCAAGAAACTTATACAGCAATCAGTCACAGGAATAAGACTAAACTCATAATCTCAACGTAAATTACAGGTACCTGGCTAAGGACACATAAGCCGCTGTTCTCTAGAAACTTACTTATATACTATTGCTGTAACAAGCAACCTGTCATGAGCACTATGTGATGGCTATTCTAAAATTAACGTCCAAGTGGCATGATGCATGATGAGAGTGGAAAAGGACGACATTCACGTGTGACAGATGAGCTCATTCACAAAAAGTCAACCAAGTTGTGGTGGGAAAATGCCATTTCACAATTACAGATATTTGTATCAGATTTGTCAGCTATTCCTAGACATTTGTTAAAAAAATTTTTCAAACTGTGAAACAGCATTTTTAAATAAAATTTCACTGACTTATTTGTCACAAAGGAATGTCATCCTTGTTCACCATCATCATGCATATCTTAACGCTCATCTCTGATTTTCCTGCACCAGACGACTGTCACTCATAATGTTATCATCGCACATACATCCCAATCAATGATGAATATCAGTGGCATTTTGACCTTCTGCTTAAAGAAATGGAATCACACCACAAATTTCATCACTTGCAGGAAAGTCAACATCAGAGTCTATGTTTACTCATTCGCAATTTGTGAACCACTGAACAAATGCAACTATAGACTACTGAATGATTGAAGCAATGAATGGTGTCACTATGGCAAACGGTTAATTTTTATCAGCCAATCGGAGGTTGATTTTGGAATAACCCCTGTAATACACTAACAACCTTAACTAAAATTACAGATATTTGACTTAGGACACATAAGCCGCTGATCTCCAGAAACCTACTTATACACAATTGCTGTTACAAGCAATTTTTAACAAGCAAAATATTACATTAACCAATCTCAACTTAAATTACAGGCACTAGGCTAAGAACACATAAACTATATCTTTAAACAACAAACTTATCAATAAATCACCCACTCTGAATAATACAAAAATGTCTGAAAATTGAAAACTCTCTGACTAATTAATTCATATATAGATGTGAATTTGGCACAATCAACCACAATGTAACATGGGCATAATCTATACATTAAAACAACAGATAAATATTTGTTCACCTATGTCTAATAATTTAATATGTGTAGAGCAGAGAAGGGTCAGCTCTGTGGCTAAGTCGATGCTAATGCTTCATATTGCCGGGATCGATATTAGCTGCGGGCCATGCGCCTTGCGTTGATTTCGACAGTGGTATCAAGAAAGATGACCGTCCAGAAAGCAATGGCAAACTACTGGACGTAAATTTGCCTAGAAAAACTACACAACAGCCAGGGGCTGTTGGGGTTGGTTCTGCAACGTCCTGTAAAGGATACGCAACTAACCTTAGAGCGGCGAAGACTATTCTGATACACCAGCTCCTTTTGAGGACAACTCTGGAGATGACAACAAGCTTAAACTGTCTGCTGCCTTCTTTAAATATATTCAAAATGATGTCTGAAGGTGACACAACTGTTTCCTGGATGCCCCCCCCCCTTTTTCCCTCTCTCTTTGATGGATTTTCCATGTCTCATATCCTTGCTAAGATCATTTTTGTTTGCACTTTTGTCAATTTTTTTCCCAATGACTGTAAGCAATTGTTCAGTGAATTTTTGTTTGTTTATACAGCCAACTCTGTTTACCTTCTAGAAACACTTCTCAAAAGCTCCCTAGTTTCTTTTCCTAATTGTTTTTGCTAATGGCTACTGTTTCAGAGTACTGCAGTCACCTGGAATGCTTCTTTGCAAACCTCAAGTTCTTCAGCGTGACTATTAAAAAGTATGAAGGACCTCGGGAAAACTAGAGTGGTCTGTAAGTTTTAACAATTTGGGCACTGCTGAGCTAACATATATTACGCTAAAAATAAATTATGTGCATTGCATTTAAAAGAATTGATACATACTGTGTACAACATTAATTATATTACTGTTTTGAGATACCTTTCGTGTACTGTTATATGAGGCGACTTCAAATGAGAACCTCTAAAGTGTGACAGAAATGACAATAATAATATCATTGTCTTGTAACCAGTCAATACTGTTGTTCAGGATATCAATAATGTTATGAATATGACACTATGGTGCAGATGAACATGATGATTCATACTGACATGTTAAAGGCCGCCATACGTTTTGACATGGTTATTGTAATTGCCATCACGCTTTTAGGGTTTTAATTTGAAGTCCCCTCGTATATACAAATTACACTTTTTCAATTGTGTGATAAATATAGGCACCAAACTCAACTGAATCTAAAACAACAATTTCAAGAAACAAGGGAACATGAACAATTTCAACTGTTCAACCTGACACTATGTACCACACATTCACACCATACAACAAGCATGGTGAATGCAAATAACAATAATAACAGCTATTTTATTCTTCTTTTCTCACAATAACTTATATGTGGAAATATATTAAAAACACTAACAATTCAAATATACATTATCAAACTGTTGTTTTTGCTGGCACCCTTCCGTCTTGCTAGACAACAGTGTTTTACTATGCTATAGGGATGCACAGGAATCACAGTCCCTGTTGATGCCAATTAAGATCAGGGATGAAGTTTCTCCTCTCTACAGCACAAAGCCTAGGAAGTACTGTCAAGACAATGTGTTGCCCATGCATCATAATCCCTCACTTGGCCTGCTATGTTAACTCCAAAGGAAAGGTAATACCAATACATTTGGAACAAAACATGATCAAATACAATGAAAATATAAACTGTCTTGTCTCAAGAAACTTGGTGTCATAAATCTGCAACATGTTGCCTATAATGCAGCAGAAGTGGTGTGTCCTGCAAGAGAAGAAAAAGAAGGAAATCTTTAGCTAAAGACATATACAAAACTAAAAGTAACATATTCGGAGACTTTAGAGAAGGCACTAATAAGCATCTATTGATAAGACTGAGCTGGATGGACTGGGTTTTGGGTTCAAGAATTATTCTTACTGTTTTAGATTATTAACGCTTCAATCTTCTCCAATTTGCCAATCAATTGTTTAATTTATCTTGCATCTGATTTCGCAAGTGGGACTGAGAGAGATTTCGTCAGCATACTGCTGCTCAATAGTGCCACCCGTCTGTCCCCCTCCCCCACCCACCCATCTTCCCTACCAACCTAAAGGTGTAAAGGTGGCCAGTAAATGTTGGATGGCCCCTGAGATTTACTTTAAGAATCTAATTAAACCAGGAGGGCAAACTCCAGTTACCCCATTCAACCTTCAAAGAAGAAATAAACGGGGCACCCATAATGACTTCACCAGCTTGGTCTTGCCTGCAGTTTTGTGCAAGAGAACAGTGTCAAAATTCAATAAGTGTCATTTATAAATGTACATGCGCAAACAAGCCAAATGATTTAACTAATGTACTTTACATAATTATTATTAGACTTTCCTTACATATCTAATATATATCAACAGTTGTCTCTCTGGATGTGAAACTTGCTGTCCAAACTGTACGGTATGTGCACATTTCTCTTTTGATCAGTGATTTAAGTTAAAAATCGTGTGAAGTGGTTTATTTGCAAAAACTATAAAAGCAGCTACAAGCTTTGAAACGGAGTCCTAGGACACAGAGCAGAGATGCCATGAAGATATATTGATCCACATGAGAAGGAAATCTTTAACTGCTAAGATGCAGTTATAAACATGAATATACAAAATCACTTTTCTGTAAGCAGAGGTCTCTCACAGAAATATTCATACCACATCTGAGAAAAAACTTATGTGTGATACAAGGAGATGGCACTGCACTGGAAGAGTGGTAACAGTGGTTGGTTACTAAGAGGGCAGTAACTCAATAATTTTGAAATAAAAAAAGGTATGTTGGACACTGAGGACTTGGGTGAGAGACAGCCCATTAGATGGTATTAAACAGTCTTGTCCCTTTATGCCAAATACTGATAAAGGCTTTAGAGTCAAAATTTTATTTTTGTTCATGATTGTGATAAACCAAATCAGAGATGGAATGTTTGAATGTTTCAATCAGGTCTGAATAAGGGAAGAGGACAATCTGCCATAAGAATTATTGATCGCCAAAGTTCGAAAGTCAAGACCAACCACAGGGAAAAGAGTTTAGTGGAGTGACAACACTCAGGACTTTAACTCTTTAAGGCCCAAACAACGGTGTGAGCATAGTTTGAGAAGTTCCGTTCTGCCCAAACAACGGTGTGAGCATAGTTTGAGAAGTTCCGTTCTGCCCAAACAACAGTGTCATCGTTAATTGTGTATCTCTTACATTTTGCTTTGCATGCGCGTTCGTACTAGTTTCTAATGTTTGGAGGTACGAATAACCTATTCAGGGAAAGTCACATTGCCGAAATCCTTTTAGTTTCACTTCTTGGACTAAACCACACGTGGATAATTTGAGAGAAAAAAACATCAAAATTTTTTTAACAGTTTATTTTCTAACTTCGTTTTTGAGTGCACTGAATACCAATGTTCTAACCACAAGAACAGGTCGCAGAATGCGTCTTTCTGCGGCCGAAGCTCTGAAATTGTTTCAGTCAGATGTTTTTAATTGTGAAAATGATAATAAAAATTTAGATTTTTCGGAAAGTGATTCAGACAGTGAATTTTCACCAGTAAAGCTGAGCGATCAGCAGTTCGGAATCTAGCGATTCTGACGAGTTTATTACACAATGTCCCATACTACCGTATTTATGATGTAAGAGAAGGAAAGTGCTCTAAACAAAGAGATAGTACAATACTATGGCTAAGCTACATTGAAATCATCGCAGCTACAGTCTGTAAATAACTGTACAAAGTGAATAGTAAATAGTGTGTGTGTTATGGCTCATTTTTCCTCTGAAATTTTGCTTAGCACTCGGTGGGAACTAAGAGCCCCTGAGTGATAAACTAACCTAGAAAGTTATCATAACTTTAGAATATGTTAGGAAATTGAACAAATTTTGAAGTTTTGTTCTCAAATTTGGATATTTACTATTCTTGTGGCTGCAAAACCATGGTAAGCGAAGAATTTTTGTGTGAAATGTTTTCCTTGTGAAATTAACACCTGCTGAATTCTTCTTTTCCACTAACTATAACACAATTAAACAAACACTTATCATCAGATTCAGAATGTACACTCATTTCTCGTTAAAAAAATATATACTGTTATAGGGATTAGAAGTATATTACAGTCTCTACAGCCTTTCTTGTACACCCACCCCTCTGCCATTTTTGTAAAGGGAAATTAATGTGGGCCAAGTCTGTCAAAATTCATGGGCCTGAAAGAGTTAGGGACCAAGTCCTGGGAAAAACATTAAATGCTAGGATAAGTTGGGAAGCCTTCTACATCTTGGAGAGGAAAAGCAGTGGCTCAGTCAATGAAATAATTAGATATTGCTTCTGAAGGAATATGAAGCATGAGACATGCTTAAAGCCATGAAAGTCAATAAAGTAATATATACTGAATGACATTTATAGACTGGTATAGCACGAAACAGGAGAAAAAAAAAATGAAAAACTAAAGGATATTGAGAAAATATAATTCAAAAGAAGATAAGGTAAGAAGAAGATAATAGAAATAAAATTACAGGAGAAAAGGGAAGATTCTTCTTGTTTTTCAAACTCTCGCTTTATTTGTCTAAAAGGCATTGAGAACACAAACTGACCTTTGACCTCCATCTGGTAACAGCAACAAATTTAAGGGTATGGTCCTTGCCTAAAATTTCCTCATTGCACAAAATATCCACCTGTAGTAGACCAGAAAGCAATTTTAAAACATTAAAACCATAGGCTATTCAATTTAACTGTCTGCCACAATGGTCAGTGGGCTTGGTTGCCAAGAGAGTGGTCTGGCCTCAATCCCTAGCAGAGGCATGATAACTGTTCTGATAAGTAAATCTCCAAGGTTTTCTTTCTAGCATTCACCAGCTGTAAACTCAGGTGGAAAGTTCTGGTTATTCTGCACTTTGGTGGTCTTGTTCTGTTCCAGAACCTGAGTTCTGCATGCACATCTGTTTTACAGATCTGGCTTTGTTAATTCCTTGCCTTGCAGATGCTCTCTGACTACGAAAGAAACACCTCCAATTAGTCACCCTGTACGATATGCTTGTTAGGAAGGCAGTGGGGGTCTATTTTCCCCTCCATCCCAAATCTGGGGCCCCAAACCCACACAGGTTTTCTCTTTGAGGTTAACCCAGCTTATAAATAGGCTCCTATACATAGAAGGTAAAGCAAAGGATTCTTTGATGTACGTGGCATCAAGTGTTAGATGCATATTTTTAGAGAACAATCGATACTCAGTGTGTCATATAGTCAACACCATGCTGGTTGGCTTTACTTCCCAAGATTCTTCTTCTTCTTATTAGAGTTCACTGGCGGTTAAACTCTGCCAAAATGTTCTGGCTATTCATCAACTTCTGGACTCTGGTTGGTCTTGTTCTAGAATTTGAGTTTTGCATGCACATTTGATTTACAGATCTGGCTTATTTGTATGCAGACTGTTGGTTCCTTGCCTCTCAGACACAAGAACTCCGACTTTAAAGTTACAATTAATCGCCTCTTACAACGTGCTTGTAAGGGGGGCAGTTAGTGGGTATATTATTTTTCCTCCTAATATGGGGCCCCGGAATTCACATGGGGAACTTCACAGGGCATTACCTGGTACCCATTAGGGCTAAGTCAACCTGGCATCCACGGTCAATTTACAAAAAAAAAAACACATCTGACTTGATGCAGATTTAAACCCTTCCCCTTTGAGCTGGCAAGTGAGAACCTAGCTACTATGCTACATGGGCTTTACACTAAATATGTGTAGCAAGCAATATTCAGCTGTTCATAAAAAAAGCAATGTTAAGAAGGACAAAAGAAACTGTAACAAAAGGTATTATTTGACTAGTTGTAGTATACACATTAAAGAAGAAAAAAAGTTTTATATAACTGTTCAGTTGCTCGGTATAGACAGAGTTGAAAATAAATGGACAAAAACCCTTAAAACACAATAAGGAATCCAAAAAAAAAAAAAAAAAAAGCAAGGAACATAAGTTAAAGGCATTAACAAACATATGCCAAGGGAACTGATGACAATTAAATTGGATGAATTTAAGAAAAGCAAAGAAATCAGAGAAACGTCCAGGCAACCACTGCTATCAACAAGTATAAGACAAGAAGATGGAAATATAATGGACGCATGACGATGAGATGCCAAGCTGAAATAAAAAACAGGCACTGAAATGGGAAACAAATGAATTAGGGAAATGAGGAAACCCAAGATAAACTGCAACAAAAATTAAAAGAGGAGGCAAAGGTGCCAGACTAGATTTAATCAATTAGCAGGTTCTTTACAGAATGTTGCTCTCGTCATGGCATGCCTGAAAATCCCCTTTTCTAGCCAATTCTCCAGTCATATGTGATTTCACAGCAAAGCATCTTCAATATCTTGTATCCACCATGGCAGAGGTCTGACTCTGACAATCTTCCAGAAGCTGTACCCCTTCATCCCAGTTCTGGCCAGGCCCACATCCCAGTTCTGTCCAGGCACACATCCCAGTTCTAGTCAGGCCCACATCCCAGTTCTGGTCAGGCACACATCCCAGTTCTGGTCAGGCCCACATCCCAGTTCTGTCCAGGCCCACATCCCAGTTCTGTCTAGGCCCACATCCCAGTTCTGTCCAGACCCACATCCCAGTTCTGTCCAGACCCACATCACAGTTCTGTCGAGGCCCACATCCCAGTTCTGTCTAGGCCCACATCCCAGTTCTGTCTAGGCCCACATCCCAGTTCTAGTCAGGCCCACATCCGAGTTCTGTCTAGGCCCACATCCCAGTTCTGTCCAGGCCCACATCCTAGTTCTGTCCAGGCCCACATCCCAGTTCTAGTCAGGCCCACATCCGAGTTCTGTCTAGGCCCACATCCCAGTTCTGTCTAGGCCCACATCATAGTTCTTTCTAGGCCCACATCCCAGTTCTGTCCAGGCCCACATCCCAGTTCTAGTGAGGCCCACATCCCAGTTCTAGTGAGGCCCACATCCCAGTTCTGTCCATGTCCACATCCCAGTTCTGGCCAGGCCCACATCCCAGTTCTGGTCAGGCACACATCCCAGTTCTGGTCAGGCACACATCCCAGTTCTGTCCAGGCCCACATCCCAGTTCTAGTCAGGCCCACATCCCAGTTCTAGTCAGGCCCACATCCCAGTTCTAGTCAGGCCCACATCCCAGTTCTGTCCAGGCACACGTCCCAGTTCTTTCCAGGCCCACATCCCAGTTCTGGCCAGGCACACATCCCAGTTCTAGTCAGGCCAACATCCCAGTTCTGTCCAGGCACACATCCTAGTTCTAGTCAGGCACACATCCCAGTTCTGTCTAGGCCCACATTCCAGTTCTAGTCAGGCACACATCCCAGTTCTGTCTAGGCCCACATCCCAGTTCTGTCCAGGCCCACATCCCAGTTCTAGTCAGGCCCACATCCCAGTTCTAGTCAGGCCCACATCCCAGTTCTGTCCAGGCCCACATCCCAGTTCTAGTCAGGCCCACATCCCAGTTCTGTCCAGGCCCACATCCCAGTTCTAGTCAGGCCCACATCTCAGTTCTGTCCAGGCCCACATCCCAGTTCTAGTAAGGCACACATCATAGTTCTGGTCAGGCACACATTCCAGTTCTGTCCAGGCCCACATCCCAGTTCTAGTCAGGCACACATCCAAGTTCTGGTCAGGCACACATCCCAGTTCTGTCCAAGCCCACATCCCAGTTCTAGTCAGGCACACATCCCAGTTCTAGTCAGGCCCACATCCCAGTTCTGTCCAGGCCCACATCCCAGTTCTAGTCAGGCCCACATCCCAGTTCTAGTCAGGCCCACATCCCAGTTCTGTCCAGGCCCACATCCCAGTTCTAGTCAGGCACACATCCCAGTTCTAGTCAGGCACATATCCCAGTTCTGTCCAGGCCCACATCCCAGTTCTAGTCAGGCACACATCATAGTTCTGGTCAGGCACACATCCCAGTTCTAGTCAGGTCCACATCCCAGTTCTGGTCAGGCACACATCCCAGTTCTAGTCAGGCACACATCCCAGTTCTGTCCAGGCCAACATCCCAGTTCTAGTCAGGCACACATCCCAGTTCTGTCTAGGTCCACATCCTAGTTCTATCTAGGCCCACATCCTAGTTCTAGTCAGGCCCACATCCCATTTCTGTCCAGGCACACATCCCAGTTCTGTCCAGGCCCACATCCCAGTTCTGTCCAAGCACACATCCCAGTTCTAGTCAGGCCCACATCCCAGTTCTGTACAGGCCCACATCCCAGTTCTGTACAGGCCCACATCCCAGTTCTAGTCAGGCCCACATTTCAGTTCTAGTCAGGCCCACATGACATTTAACATGGCCAAAATACCAGCTTTCAGCACAGATTCCATCTTCAATATAAAAATGATTCCGAACAATATTTTCCCGTACTGAATTTAAATAATGTGAAAACATTGCACAATTTATTGCTAGGCATATTTCGCTGTATCTCGTCAGGTGCGTTACTACAGAGTTACACAAACCTAAAATGAAGCACAAAACTGAATAAATCTAACTGAAATGTGAATAGTTTCTTCCGACACATTGTGTGTGATTTTTGGCCACCGGAAGCTCATTGTAGTCACGTGACCTACCAGGGTAACTTTAAATTTACAATAAATTCCGTCTGCTTACAAAGGAGGGGGTTGTTGATTTTAATTGTTAATAAACTGTGCAATGTATATTTTGTGTCCGCATTATTTAAATAAAAAAATGCAAGGATCGAAATGGCACTGAAAGGTAGGCCGTAGGCTCTATGTGACTTATTAACAGCACAACATGATGATGATGACACACACATAAAAACTGACCTCTCTGAACCTATTTATGTTATTATACAATTTGAGAGCCACAAACTTCTTCAAGTGTGTGATAGTAGCTTGTGAGGAGATTCGTAAGTATCTCCGCTTCAAGTTCTTTAAATTTGGGGCCCGACACTCCAGGCAGATGTTCACCTGTTCATCACTGCGATGGTGATCACCATCGTCGGGATGGTCCTGGCTGACATTCTTATTGCACTCATTGCTGTTTTCATCATTCACTGAAAGATAATTGACAAACAGGAAATGTGTTAGCAATACATCTGTTATCAAACTGAACTTGTCACAGAATGCTGGACAAGTCAAGGTATATTTAGATATTTCTAAGAATTTCTACAAGTCTGTCATAGCTAATCACACAGCATATTGTTCGTTCACCAGTTTACTTTTGTTGTTTTCCCCGTGTGGGTTCCAGGGCCCTATTATTGGGAAAACAAGAATAGACCCAATGCCCACCCAAAAGCATGTCGTAAGAGTCGAATAATTGGGAGCTTCCTTCGAAGTCGGAGTGCATCTGCCTGAGAGGCAAGGAACCAACAGTCTGCATACAAATTAGTCAGATCTGTTAAATGGATACACATGTAACACTCAGGTTCTGGAACAGGACTGCAGTCCAGAGGTGGATGAACAATCAAAACTTGTCATCAGAGTTTACAGCCGGTGAATGCGAAGAAGAAGAAGACTTCTGTTTGAATATTTCCTCTAAAGTATGTTAGAAACAGACAGGTAGACAGACTGGCTGCTTCTGCATCACTTGGTTGTAAACTGATACATGACAAGTCAGGTGTGGTCAAGGCCTCCTGGCGAGTACACAGAGTGAAAGCACAATGAAATTATGGTTTGGAAAAAATGATGCAGCAGAGAGTGGTCAGGGAATCTGGCCGACACTCAACAACACTCAGAAGAAAGGCAAGATAGACGTACAATCAAACAGCATTAGAATCAGAACTCTGTGCTGGCAGCTGACCTTGTGGGAATGTCCTCAGTGCTACGATGTTGGCTCTTAACTCCTCTTGTGTCCTGTACTAAACCTTCAAGACATACAACAATGCAAAGGAGCATCAAAAAAATTCTTAAAAGTGCCACTGTCTTGAAGCCTGATAATATTATAGTTAAGTATGTCAAGAGTGTTCAGCATGTGACATCACAGTGCAGAAGAACAATGTGATATCCTGACAGTTTAAAAATGGCTGCCTCACTTTTGACATGCACCAAAGAGAACCAGTGTTCAGCAATCAATTTTTTTTTATCACTGTAAAAATTTCATTGGTGAATGAAAGTGCACTATGGTGATGCATGCCTGTCAGTCCAGCGAGTGTATGACTGGAGGAAGTTTAAACACTGCCTAACTTCTGCGACAGACTGGCCACGACCAGGTCAGTCACACAGAGTAATAGACCCAGAGTCAACTGCACTGAAGTCCCCTCATTTCAATGACTCTTATCCTCAAGGAATCTCTGTGGTTAAGTGATGAAACCTATGCCTTGTGCTCCGAAAGTCAAAGGTTCATTTACAGATGTGTCATTTGGCTCAGGAGTTCAATTTAATCCAGAGAATGCCAAAGCTACAGAGTTCGTGCTTTGTGTGACATTACTGACCGGTAGCTAACCATTCTGTGGAGACAGTTTTATCTGTTTGGGATAAAACCAGTGCTCTGAAGTTGATCCTCTTCAGTTAACAACAAAGAAAGAAAGTTGACCTACAGTAAACTGTTGTCTAACCCAGGTCACTGAAATCAGAATTTGTACCAAGATAGCACTGACTCTTCTTGTTCTTCATTCTCATCAAAAGGGCATTACACATTGTTAAGCCCCTCACATGTTAGCGAGTTTAGCATTCAGTCAAATACATCCTATTTTTTTTTTTTTTTTTTTTAAATTTCCAAAATAAAAAAAAATAAAACAATGTAACAACCACATATGTTTCATCATAAGACATAGCTTACCAATGTTAGAAGGTACTGGTAAACCCCTCTTTTTATAGAACTCTTTCATTCGCTCATTTTCCTCTGCAGAAATACACATTTAAAGTACATATATCAGATACACAGCTTAATGAGGTGATTACTTCACATTCTATTACCCCTCATTCATATAATAAGGAATGAAAAAAGACATGCAGTTTTAACTGTCTATTATTATATTTTTCAAAAATTACAGCTAGGTTTAGAATCTCAAGTTCTAGTATTAGTATTTTGATTAGAATAGATAAATTCAAACCAAGAGTAATCTTACAAGCATTGGTTGCAAAAGAACTCGTTGCTCTCTATCTCTGCTATACTCATGGTGTCTTCTACGTTAATTTCTTTCCACCTCTCTGTTTGTTCTTTTTATGTAACAATCAACTCCCTGGCAGACATTACAGTACCACTTTGCATCCCAAGAAGCACTTATCAAAACTAAAAAATGTATTATACTTATGTGGCACAGCGGGCTGTGACGCTAGACTAATATTTTTACAGGCCCATCAGCCCTCTGTGGGTCATGGGGGTCAACATCACAAAAACAATTTTGCGCAGTTTAAAATAAAAACACTATGAAAAAGCAGTAATCACACAAGAGTTAAATCAACAAGGATTAAGGTGACATTGGGATTGGGCCATGGTATTAAAGAAAACATATGTGTTAAGGGTAACCCACAAAGGTATCCTGAGTGTATTGGTGGTGACTGAGTTAAGTAAATGTGTTTCTTGTGCATTTCTACTTTCTAGCAGCCTCCCAATTATAATTGTGAGAATGGTGTTATTCCTTTTCAAATGTTTAAAATATTTGATTTTTCAAACAAAACAAAAACAAAAATATTTTCTCATTTAGAAATTCTATTAATCTCCATGTATTTAAGATTATATTTGTTACTTTTGTTGATAATTCTGAATTTTAATTCTGACTGTTTGTCTGACTATGACATATTGTTTACACAATTGACAATTCATCTTTTGTTAGTTTATATATATTATTTGGCATCCAATACAATCATGTGCTTCAATTCTGATCGGCTCTGTCAGTTTCCAAGCTACTTTAAATTAATACAATCTATTTGACACAAAGATTTAAAATAAAAAAGCAGACATTAACATACAGACAGTAGTAAAAACTGTAAATGTATGTGGATTACAATTTAAAAAATAGAATTTACCTATCATAAATAATACATTCTGGATTGTTATGATTAAAAAATACTAGACAGACTGGCTGGATCTGCACCACTGGATGGTGAATTGATACATGACAAGGCAGATGTGGTCAAGGCCCTTTGGGAACAAGCAACGGAATCAGTAGAGAAACAAGATTATAATGGCCTGGAGAGAATGAGGCACCTGAGTGTAACCAGAGGGTCTGGCCGGCTCACTACACTCAGAGGAAAGGCAAGACGGACATTTAACCAGATTGTGACCGGTACCATCAGCACTGGAACTCTGCACTGCCTGCTGAAGACGAGGACGGAACATGCATGTGAATGCCCCGAGTGCTGTGATGTCAATTCTTGATTCAACCCAACTAATAAAATACTAGATCTGATATAGACATGGACATCAGTAATGTGTTAAAAATACTTCCTATGAAATGATACATGGCACTGGCAACAATGATATAAACAGGAGGATACTTCGAAATCCACTGATATAGACTCTGGTCAGAAACAGTTGGCTGTATCTGTGCATGTCTTCTCCATTCTCCACACCAAGTTTTCAAGTCAGAGTTTGTGTTGTTATTTACTACTTATTTGCAATAATGCTTTGTTATGATTTTTCACTAATTAAATTAACAAAATAACAGCAGACGGCATATTACCAGGAGTTATGGCATCCACCTGGGTGCTGAAGGTGCCGGGTTCAAACCCCGGTGAAGGCTGGGATTTTTTCATGTGGACTTCTAGTATTTTCCCCTGGTCTCTGGGTAGTAGGACCGGACGCTCGTGTGTATTGTTGCACACGTAAAAAAATACCTTGGCAGTTGGAAATCGAATAGAGTAGCCTAACAATGCAACCCGGGCAAAATTTGGAGTTAAATATCTACCTAAGTATTTCAGGATCCTTGCCACTGCAACGGAGTTCGTGCACTGCGCTGGAATTGTTCAGACCCAGACTTGAGTTAGAAGTAGAATAGAGTCTTTATGGTTTACACCTGTGTGCCATCATGTTGATCCATAGAATAAACATAAACACTACCAGGAAAGAGGGGCAAGGGCTGACCAGCAGGAAGATGGGCACCAGATATAAGTGATGCCTTGGACAGGAAAATGCATCAGATAGAATAGCTGGTGAGAGATCTAAGTTTCTTTTAGGCAGACTGTGATGATAGCGACATTCTGCAAAGGACCTGCTACATGATGACGATGTTATAGCATTGCAAAATACAGGAGACAGTGCAGCATTTCTAGTTAAAAATAAAAAATGTCTAAATAATGCAAAAAACTTACTTTCTTGCAAATTTGGAACCAGCTTGTAAACAATATCTTGCATTGTCCTATCAAAACTGAAGAGACAAATATTGCACATTACAATTCAAATCAATGTTTTATAATAGTAGAAACAAGTAGAGGACCCTTATTATGCAGTAAAACATTGGACATATGATGATAGAATCTTATTTTTTATGAACACTTCGGCACTTGGTGGGTGATGTGATCAACATCATGCTGGCTGCCTTTACTTCCCAGAAAATTACCTGGTACCTATTTAAGGTTGAGCCAAAATGGGAGCTAAGGACTATTTTGATGGAAAAAAAAATCTGCATTGGCGAGGATAACCCGTGATGTTTGGGCTGGTAGGCAAGCCACTATGCCGTGATTACCAAACTGTGCACCGCCGAACCCCGGTGAGCCGCGACCTCTTCACAGGGGCATCGCAAAATATTTGAAGATACACGACTTTTATAATTTTAAAAAAAATCTCTTTAAATTTTACTTAGGTTAGGGCGCTTGTCGTGAAATGATAGCCATTACACATCGGTCTGTAAGGCTGATAACCTGTCTTACCTGTAATCTGCACAAAATTCAAACTTGGACTCGCCCAGAAATATATAGTCCCTTATATCTATATATATAGGCCTGTATTGGACAACATTATTATGTCTGCCTTTTCTGGTTACTTTAACTAAACTCCACTTTTAAATGTATATCTCTTGGAGATATATTAAGGGAGTTATTTGAGGTTTCTTGGAAACCGATTTACTCCTTGCACAAGTATACAAGGGACTTCTTTTGTACCGACGCCTGAAGTGTCTAAGTGACGCTATTCTCCTTGCCAGCTTCTCAAGCGTCCAGATGTGTTACTCTGTGCCTGTATAAATTTCACTTTTCAAGGCAATCTGGAATGTCTCTGTTTTTACATATGCTTGGGTAAGTTAATTATAGTTTACGAGTACCTAGAATGATGTCTGTAAAGTAGTCACTGCTGTAGAGAAATCAGTATCGGCTGTGTGATCTCACGTAGCTCGACCGTTCTTGATCGCTAGAGTAGCGGATTCGAACGTAGATCTTCCACTGTACAGACTAAATAGCTTATGCCCTCAATAAACCACCCATACTGATAAAATTTAATACCCTTACAATTGTGTACGTTTTAAACTAATTAAAGAATCTGTACATACGAAAATGGGGACAGAATTGGGTCAGGGCTTTGTTAATCAAAGTATGTGTGTGCTTGACCCAGATCAATGAGTGCTGGGGCGGTTGGGAAAGCTAGTGAATGCAGGTACTGACAGTAAATATTGGTGTCTGTGTGCAGAGTGAGGGGGAGAGGGAGAGTGATATATGTGTTAGACCACTTTATCTATCTCCACTGTATATCTGACTTGCCTTCTCTTGCACTAAACAGACAGATAAATATAGGAGACTTATGTCTTTTGGTCTGGAGAGGCAATCTGAGGAATGAAACAGGAGAGCAGGGAGGAGTTAGCAGATGGGGGTTGATGACTGATGCTTGCTCTGTCTTTCTTGTCAAGATGTTACCCTCTTGGTGATGACTAATGTTGAGTTATTTTCTTGACAGGATGTATCTTTTCTGAAGAGCTGGCAGAAGATTCACAGTCAAACCAACATCCACCAACCATCAAACCACCAGCTAACACCTGTGAAGGTTCCTGACATCTCTAACATGTGGGAGATGGTACCTCAAACAGCTACCAGTGCTAGAGCTTAGTGTGGCTCAAAGACATTGTGTGTCCTTACTGGTGATAGAGACTTGCTAAATACCGGTACAGTTGCTGCGTCTTCTAGGGTGAAGTACTCTTTCACTACCTGATCCAGTTGAGCAGAATTACCAGAGTCAAAGACAGTCGAATCATCAGGAGCTGAGGGAGGCATCATAGACAGAAAGAGGCTAAGTGCAGTTTTGACACCTCATATGTTTTATTCCTCACAGCTCCTAGATTGTCCAGTGATGACAAGATGTCATCTCCAAGACCTTCTGTCTGTGTAGTATCTTTGTGATTTGGACAGGATATCCTGAGATCTAGCCTAGGAGATCTGGCAATTGTCTCACTTTTATGTATCTATTTTATATTGATTACATGCATTCATTTTCATGGCTGACTTAGGTGTTCCTATTTCACCTTTTTAAGTGTTTAGCAGTTGTGTATGTATGTATCTTCAACATATGTGTTAACATGGTTATGATAATGAACTATCATAACCTGGGGGCTTTCTTTAGTAAGTAGTGGGGGTGTCCAGCCAAGTGTGCCTAGAAATATGGTATATATATACTGATATATTTTGTAGTGCCAATACTTGAGTTGCCCTACTCCAGAGATAAGTTGAGCGTATATTGGCCACGGGGAATCCCTTAGACCAATACGAGCCAAACGACTCAACATAATTATCTCTGAGTGCTGTTGGTTCTGAAGGAGAAATCCTCACATTAGGCACGCGACAGGAGTGATATGTGACAGCGCTGTGGAAAAATTTGAATGTAAAAAAGGCACAGCGACTAAGAAATGTTTGGGAAACACTGCATTATGCTACTGCAGCTCCCACTGTTTACATTGAAAGTTTAAAAGTTAGTTTGTATCATTCCCAGGATGTTGCAGAACCAATTCCAGCATTTTTTTGGCTGTTTGAGATTTCACTGGACAATTTTGCATTCAATATTTCCCCACTGCTCTCTGAACAGTAGGCTCTTCATATCAACACAAGGCAGTATACTCTCAAATTACCTGCGGGCACCATGGAATCACTAGTACACTCACTTTTCATTTAAAAAAATCAGCATACAAATGATTACTTACTCTGTGTTTGCATGAGTGTGTATTTAGGCTCATGTCAGTGCATAAATGCACACACATAAACATGTGCAAATGAGAAACTAGTTGTTTTAATTAGTAATAAAGGCAGATTAAAAGGGGTTGGGGGAGGGGGGGGGGAAAGGTGGAGCAAATACCTGAGATAAATAATTTATCTCTAATGCACTTACAGCTCCAGCAACAAGATGCATCAATGTAAGAGATAAACTGATCCATACTGCAGTAACTGAACAGAGTTATAAAAGAAAGAAAGAAATAAGAAGATAACTAGATAAAGATTCATGTAGCCTTTTCCGAAAGCACAGACAATTTGATGTCAACAGACACTCTGTTGGCCATCACAAAATGTAAAGAAGCGTAACCGCCTATGCCAGAAATGCACCAAATGATTGTATCATAAGAGTACTGTCCTCAGCCCTAAAAGAAACTCTGAGGTGTATCTGTCTCCATTAAAAAATATTTAGTTTATCAGATAATATCATTAAGTTTGCAACCATCATCATCCTGTAGCAGGTCCTTTGGAGAATGTCGCTCCCATCACGGTCTGCCTGAAAGAAACTCTGTCTCTCGCCTGCTCTCCCGCACTTTCATACTCAAGGAGTCACTTATATCCTGTGCCCATCTTAATTTTGGTCGGCCCCTGCAACTCCTTCCTGGTACCATGCCTTCTGCTTTTATATTTTTTTTCCAATCCGTCGTGGCGCTTGATATGACCAAAATTTTTCAGCTTCCGAGACAGGATGCTGTTTATTAGCCAATCTTCTTTGATGTTAAGATCTTTCAAGATGTTAGTTTTTCTCCTCTTTTTTTTTTGTCCAAGATATTCTGAAAATAATCTGCAACAATGTACTTTAAATTCTTTCTAACTAGCTTCCTCTTTAGCCCTACTGCATTTGCCGTAAAGCATTGTAGAGAGGAGACAGATGTAGCTTCCTGTCTTTTGCTAGCTGCGCAGCTTGTTTTAATGCCATACTGCATTTCTGTAGTATTCCATCTAACTAAAGGACATCAGCTTCCCTTCTCTACATGACTCTTACCCTTGCATTCATAATTTTCTAACAGATATAAGTCCCTAATCACATGTCTGATTGTGATTTTATGAGCTAACATCTTTAGGATATACTTATACCGAAACAAGCTTAGCGTACTCTGCATCTCAACCATGGAATCATCTTCTAAAGCAAATTAAAAATACTACTAACCACCTAATCGAACACTATCTGAATATTATCTTTACCAATTAGAAACCCACTGAAAAGATAACAGTATTTTAAGCACATGTTTATTTTCCCTAGATTTATAAAAATTACTATGATTTACTGTTATTTACAACTAGGCCTAATTTGAGCACATTTCAGTGTTTCTAATTACTAGGTGGTTCAGGATGATGTTTTTTATTGCTTTTTAAAAGACATGTTAATGAAATGATGAACGAAGAATTGCAGAGCGCCAGACAGGCCCACATGCCCAATTCATAACCCTTTAAAACCTAGAGCCTGTGGATTGAAAAAAAAAAAACTAACTAAAGACTGCAGAGGAAACATTACCAACCAAGTTTACTCCTAACTTTGCTGTGCTGAATTATGGCATGGTTGTCTCGTAGTATGTCTCAGTCTTCTAAAGAATCCATCAACCAACATGTAAATGTACTGTGCCTAAGTTCGTGAATATTCTTAATAAGGACAAAATGCTTACCTAACATAATTAAGTGGATAACTTTGGTGAATTTCAATACCACACTTTGGACAAGTGTTTTTCTCCTCCAAGTACTTGACAATGCAACTCTTGCAAACTGCAATGAAAAAAATATGTAAAAATTGTGTATTTGTGATACTTGTTTAAATGTTAAGAATGCTGGGCTCTCGTGTGGGATACCCAGATTTTTTTCTGTTGCAGGCAAAAATGAAATCTAAACGAGCTCAGTCAGGGGTAACAGTACTAGCCATGCGGCTTTCATTCCTCAGGTTCAAAGCCTCCCTCCCCCCACTATAAAAATGGTAAATATTGACAGAATTGGAAGTGGGTTTTGGCAAATATTTATTTGTCTTTTAACCGGAATTGCACAAAAGATCACTAAAAATAGGTTCAGAAACAAACTGAGAGCAATAGCACTTACAGAAATTAGATTACAACACTGTACATGGCATCATTAAATGTTTAACTATGAACAATAGTGTAAATTATGAAACAGCACTTTTCCACTATGACCTGGTCGACTTTTTGAATGTGCTCATCTGTCACAAATGAATGCCCTCCTTGTCCACCCTCATCATTCACATCTTTATGCCCAACTCTCAATTCCCTGAACCAATCCCTAATGTAACACAATCAACAATGAATCTCAGTGGCATTTTGACTTTCTGCTTGAAGAAATCAAATCGCATCATGAATTTCACAGATGGAGGGAAAGGCAACAACAGTGTCCATGTTTATTAGTTCCTGATTCATGAACTAATGAATAAATTTGACTGTAGGTTGATGTATAGTGAGCTAACAGACTACTGAATGATGTAAGCAATGAAAGGTATCAATATGGCAAGTGGTTTACTTCGATCAGCCAATCGAGGGTTGATTTTAGAATAGCCCTTGCACTTTGTCAATTCCCACTTTTCATTGCCATATCTATCAATTTTTGTGCTGAAAAAAAATGCTATTCTATGACAGGGAGCTGATTAGTAATTAGTCTCTCTATATGCATGATACCTTGGCAATTCAGACTGGATTACAGCACAGAAGATAAGGAGCAACAGGACATACATATTATGAACACATTCAGTGTGATTTAATCATGCAGACAGATAGGAATAAGAGAGGGGGAAAAGTTACCAGCATTATTTATAAAAAAGGATAGAATATGAGAGCACAGAAGTAGAAATCTGAACTATTAAGGAATATGATGATTTCTCCCTCCTTAACAGTTTTATTAGCTCTAGTGATATTTAAATGTTAACTTACATGTATGCAGGCATTCTGTAATGGTAGTTGCATCTACTAAATATCCCTTGCAGATGTAGCAGGTTATGAAGGGGTTCACAGACTTCAGGCGAACCTTTCTTTCCATCATCTTGACACGGTGGTTGGACAATGCATCAATTCTAGTGTAAAGAAACATAGTTACATTGAAATATATTGTGATAACTTTTAGGCATGCTTAGAGTTAGAGTATGGCAGGTGCTGTACTACTGGGTGGTGAACTGATGAACGGCAAACTAGTTAGTTAGCTGACAATTTATCCTCATTGCATATCGAACAGTTTAGTCCATAAGTGCTCACATCCCCTCCTCAGTAAGTCCTGCATTGTAGCAGCTGATGAGACCAGCGATATGTGAGTTTCTTATTCTTCTTTGGATATGGGCATAATGCTCTTGCCTGGCAACACCCCTTTTTAACTTGCTGTTCTTACAGTCTTGTCTTGATTGCAGATTCACAGTCACATGATTTTCACAAATGTTTTATTTCTCATACAGCACTCAGTATATCAGTCTGGTCCATAGCTCGGCCTTCACATTACTTACCTGCAAGCCTATTAGTTAGCTTATGTCCCTGCCCACCTCGGCATGAAAATGAAACTGATCTTTGTCAGACCTGACCACCTCAGAGACACCAACCACTGTCTTCAGACCCAGCCCATCCACTGTCTTCAGACCCAGCCCATCTACTGTTTTCAGACCCAGCCCATTTCTATCTTCCTTAGCATACTCATTATCACCAAGAAAGCTTGCCCAGTTCAAAGTCTGTGTCTCGCCATGTTACTTCTTTGGTTATTGCCATGACCTCATAGCAAGCTAGATGTGGTCAAGGCCCTTTGGGAGCAAGTGAACAAGGCAGAAGTACTAACAGATCATTATGGTCTGGTATTTCAAAATATTTCAGGATCATCGCCGGTGCTACAAAGCCTGTGCACTGTGCTGAGCTTCTTCGGACTCAGACTTGATTTAGAAGAAGAACGGAATACTTATGGGTTACTACCCATGTGACATGATGTTGATCCACTGTTCAAAACTCAAACCTCTATGGTCTGGAGAGATGTGCAGTAGGAAATGTTCGACACTTTACACTCAGAGGAAATGCAAGGTGGGCATACAATTAAAATGCTACTTTTATCACTGGCTTTGGAACTTTTGTTGGCTGCTGAAGGTTTGAAATGAGCGTGTATGGGTATTACACAGGTGGGGGAGGTGTCAATTCTAAATCCAGCTCAACTCATGGACTGTTTGTTGATTAAAAATTACTTTCACAGCACATGTATGTATGTGCTCTCAGAGCTGACACAAGGAGAATCTTAGAGCCAGGTCACAAACGTATAGTACCAGTAAGGATTTAAATGTGTGCTATATTAGAACCACACATGTAATATGACACTTTCAGTGGCTCATTCAGTCTGTTTTAAACATTGCAACTGTACATAGGCTTTTGACAGATGCATCCACTCATTTTCCATACTTGCTTGTAGATGCCTACTAACCCAGGATCAAGGATGAGTATACTTTTTTTTTTATTTTGTAATAATCCAAACAGTATGTGATATGAATTCTCTATGCTGGTAAAGAAAAAAGAAAAAGAAGTGACCCATTGTTCCCTAACACGTGACTAGAAAGAGGCTTGAAATCATATGCAGTGGACCAAAATGGCATAGATATCACAGTCTTGCTGTAAATCATAAAACAATGTGTCAACCATCATTTTAGGGTGAAAGCAGAAGAAATGGCAGGAATGGAACCAGGTCTGCCAGACTTCTAACTGCTCGTCTGTCAACTTATAGGTTTAATGGTAAAAGAGACAGAGGATAACAAAGCAAAGATACAGGACAACCTAAGGCCACAAAATAATAGAAGATTATGAATTGATAAACAACGCTAGTCAATGAGACTTGTGTAAAGACATAATTGTTTAAGCCCGTAGGGAAGTTATAATACTTTTGAAGCAAAAACGGGATATGGCAATAAACAAAGACATAGCTTTAAATGCATTAGCTTGAATATTCACACACAGCTGTCTCTGATAGAAAAAAAATGAGGCTTAATTTCTTAAAAGATGATAGAGATTTTACGGTAGTGGATTAAACATTTCTTGATCAGGGCTGAAAAAAAACTAGTAGAACCCATATGCAAATAACTGTCTACATTAGCAATCCAGGACCCTCTCAACAATCATGTATAAACTCCTCAGTACTGAAGTGGATCCAAATGTGTGTATACCCCTTAGTTAACACAAGATCTTTTACAATTGAAAGAATCGTGAAGCATTCTGCACGCACATAAATTCTCTTTAAATATCTTGTTAGCTATCGCTTGCTTTTGGCTTTGCGTTTAGAATTTCTAGTCAAAAGGGTGTTTGATACTATCTTAACTGAAACCAAACAAATACAGACAAAGCATTCATTCTCTGTTATGATTATTGATTTTTTCCAGGAGTCCCAAAAAGTAATCTCAATTGAATGTAACCACGTATCCATAGAATCCACTACTATCAACGCAAGGACACACACATCAATGATAAAATTATAAGTATATTAGCAAATTTCTTGCTCACCTCTTCAGTTCGGTGCTTCTGTTCTTCTGAATTGAATGCAGTCCCACTCTTTCTTCTTCAATCCAACTGACTTATAAATGAAAACTCCAGCTTCTAGCTGAATTACTTAGTATTTGCTATTTAAGTTTACCATGTAATTTAACATAAAGTAGAAAGTCAGATGAGTAGAGTGACAGTGTCAGTCAAGTAAACCCAAATAAATATACCGTCTTTTCTTACAACAGCAGCAAGGCAGTTGTGAGTTAATAATGTAATGACGTGTTAATAATCAACAATGTCTTCACTCTTTAACTGCAGTATTTAGTAAAGTATTTAAAAAAAACTACTACTACTTCTACTTTAGTAGTTGATGCATTAATATAGACAGCATTTGCACTTTACTAGTCCGTCGTAACGAATAGTTATAATTAAAACACGAAAATAAAATAAATATGATCGAGTAATTCCTTGATTACTTTATAAAGCATGTGCATATTAAGGACAATACCATTCTTGTAAACCAATGCAGATTAACATTATTATACCGCCTACTGTTTTTAAGACTCTGTAGATGTATATAATCAAGTACAGTCAGTATGTGACGTATGTTTGTGTCAACAAAGAAAACATATATTTATTGTTACTGCTAAACCCCCAGCCTGTCCTGTCTGAAGAAAAATGAGCTTTGATTGGACCGATTTTTTAGAACAGCCAATGAAATGTTTCCTTGCATTTATTTTACAATTACTTTAAAAAGTATAATTTTGAGAATTGTGTTTGACGTTCAAAAATAAAAAATAGGAAACCAACAAAACAAAACAAATTTTACTATAATCACACAAACGCCCAGTTCATATTTTCTTTGTACACCCGAGAATAACACACGATATCAAAGGGTAAATGAAAAAAAAAAAAAAAAAAGATTATGATATGACCATGGAGATAATGTCAATAAAGTGTGAAGTTCACCATAATTTATAGTTTACCACATAATAAGATGTGTTGGTCAGTTCCTTTCCTTTTCCCGTGTCCTTCCCAGAAAGTTTTTCATATTTTATGAAGCTAGATCGACACTATATATGTAACCGTGAATGATATATATATATATATATATATATATATATATATATATATATATATATATATATTGCACAAATACAACGAAACTAAATTGCAGTATTATATTTTCTTGGTGTGGGGTGGGTGGTAAAGCAGGGACGATGATAAATGGTTCCAATTTATTGTACACACATATTTCCAAGAGCGCTCGTTCAATATTTTTTTGGACAACACGAGGCGAGGTATTTTGGATGTCCTTACCTTCAACATTGTCAAGAAATTCTTAAAATATCAATAACTGAGAGAATATCATGCAAAAAAGCCAGAAGAAGATGCAGAGAATCCGAACACTTCGCTCCCGTGGAGAAATCCAACATGCAAAACCAGATTAGAAAGTTAGAAGAAGAGGTCAAGATACTGAAGGCAAGCAAGTTAACTCAAGAGAATAGCTCTCCAGAAGTTAACGACCAAGCGAGACATATTCTTTCAGAGATGAAGGAGATGAGAGAGATACTTTGCAACAATATAAAGACACATAATAAAATAAAAGCACAAAGCGGCATTACAGGAATTGTTGAAACAACAGGATGAAAGTCACGAAGATAGTAGCTCCATGTCACCTCAAAAAGCCAAAGAAAACAGCAAAAAGTCAATACAAGTCAAGCTAAAAGAAACATCGCCAAAAGAGTCTACTGGCAAGCAGCACGAGCTTGACGAAAGATACAATGCAGAAATGAACAGAATGTTTCTGCCAGGAAGCATTAAGACAAACGAAGATCGAAGAAAACAAGTCCAGTAGGGAAAGAGATTGAGAGAAGAGACGAAAGAGAAGAAACAGAAGACAACACTTCGCATCACTGAGTTGAATCAAAAATGGACATCACAGCACTCGGAGCATTCCCATGCATGCTCCGTCCTTACCTTCAGCAGCTAGCACAGAGTTCCAATACTGATGGTACCAGTCACAATCTGGTTAAATGTCCGTCTTGCCTTTCCTCTGAGTGTTTTCAGCCGGCCAAACCCTCTGATTACATCCAGGTACCTCATTTTCAGGCCATAATAATCTTCTTTCTCTACTAATTCCGTTGCTTGTTCCCAAAGGGCCTTGACTACATCTGCCTTGTCATGAATCAATTCACCACCCAGTTTTGCAGATCCAGCCAATCTGCCTGTTCATTACCCACCACGCCGGCATAGCCTGGAGAAAAGATCAAAAGTATGTTAACTACCCGTAACCTTTCCAGTGAAGCTTGCCACTCTGCTCGAAGCATCCCTGCCTTCGCTTTTTTCAGCATGCTTTCAGAGTCTGATAAAATTAAGACATGTGTTTGCATCTTGTTCTCTAGCCACCGGAGAGCTGCAGCTACCGCCTCCACCTCCATTCTCATGCTAGATGTTTTGGTGTCATATGCTAGGCTGTCTTGCACTAAAGATTTTCCATTGGCTTTCGCTACGAACTGCCAGGCACTTCATTTTCCTCTCAGCACCGAACCATCTGTATCGATAATCAGATTACGTGGGCGTGATTTGTCGTGAATCACCTGTTTGACTTCAACCTCTGGCCCTTCTCTGCACACCCGGCCTAATGTGATCATAACCCTACACAGGTCAAGCTTTTCCCGCTGGTACTCTGACCCACTCTTTTCCTCGCCCGATGTTCTCCAGCACGCATACTTCTCTTATTGCTTATTGTGTCTTCTGCTTGAGCTATCCACAATTTACCCCATTGCAGCCTCTGACCCTTGCCTGCAGCCAAAGCTTCATACAGAGGGTGTTCCCTGTCTGCAGCTACTCTGACTTAGCCTGCAGCAATTTTTTTTCTTAGTCCAAGGAAATTTTAATTTACACTTAAAAATGCTCTTACAAATGCAGTCAAAGGTAATTTTCAAAGCTCTTACACATTCAGTGACTAGTTAATTGAACATTGAAGGTTTTTTTCTCCTGACTTCTTTTCTGTGCAATTTGGACTGCAATAGCCACCGAGACCATGAAATTAAAATTAACTGAGTCAGTTTCTTGATGGGTAATAAACTAAAGTAGAGGGGAAAGTACAGATGTGATCCTTTCACATCTGGGGTGTTGGCAGTTTTGAGTCTGACCGCAGGATTTAGCTAAGTACTGATCAAGTCCTGATGCCAGTGACGAGGATTTCTCTAACTTTCACTTCTTCTTGATGGCAGCTTTAGTGACTTTTCCTGCGCTGATATCCTCCTTGGTGACAGACTTGATAACACCGACAGCCACTGTCTGTTTTATGTCACGCACGGCGAAACGTCCCAGAGGGGGGTACTCCTGGAAAGCCTCCACGCACATGGGCTTGCTAGGGACCAGTTCAACCATGGCAGCATCACCAGACTTGACAAACTTGGGGTTGTCTTCCAGCTTCTTGCCAGAACGACGATCACATTTCTCCTTGATCTCAGCAAACTTGCAGGCAATGTGAGCAGTGTGGCAATCCAGCACTGGCGCGTAGCCATTCTTGATCTCACCAGGGTGGTTCAGGATGATAACCTGAGCATAGAAAGACTTGGTGGCCTTGGGTGGATCGTTCTTACTGTCACCAGCCACGTTGCCTCGACGGATGCCCTTGACGGAAACGTTCCTGACATTGAATCCTACGTTGTCAACTGGGCCGGCTTCAGGGAGAGCCTCATGATGCATCTCAACTGATTTAACCTCAGAGGTGACGTTGGCAGGAGCAAAGGTGACCAGCATGCCTGGCTTCAGCACTCCAGTCTCCACTCGGCCGACGGGCACACCGATCTTGTAGACATCCTGCAGGGGCAGACGCAGGGGCTTGTCTGTGGGGCGGCTAGGGGGCAGGATAGCATCTAAAGCTTCGATCAAAGTCTTGCCAGAGGCGTTACCTTCTTTCCTCTCAATGGACCAGCACTTGAACCAGGGCATGTTGCTAGATTCCTCCAGCATGTTGTCTCCAACCCAACCAGAGATGGGCATGAATGGGACAGAAACGGGGTTGTACCCAATCTTCTTGATGTAGGTGGAGACTTCTTTCCTAATTTCATTGTATCGGCTTTCGCTGTATTGTGGTGATGTGCTGTCCATCTTGTTGACGGCACAGATCAGCTGCTTGACTCCCAGGGTGTAAGCCAGCAGGGCGTGCTCACGGGTCTGGCCTTCTTTGGAGATACCAGCCTCAAACTCACCAGTACCGGCAGCAACAACCAACACAGCACAATCAGCCTATGAGGTGCCAGTGATCATTTTCTTGATGAAATTCCTGTGACCTGGGGCGTCAATGATAGTCAGGTAGAACTTCTGAGTCTGGAACTTCCAGAGAGCGACATCGATGGTAATACCACGTTCTCTCTCGGCCTTCAGTTTGTCCAACACCCAGGCGTACTTGAAGGAACCCTTACCCATCTCCTGGGCTTCCTTCTCGAACTTGGCAATGGTTCGCTCATCGATACCACCGCACTTGTAGATCAAGTGTCCAGTGGTGGCGGACTTGCCGGAGTCGACATGCCTGCAGCACTTTTAGTCTATCTGCAGTAGTCGGCAATGCAAGGATTATCGCATGCACACAATCGGTGTGTTTCTTGTACAACCGGATAGCTTTATTCTGTATGCGCTCCAGTTTGACTGGTTGGCTATTCGAGACAGTGAGTAACCCCGATCCATAATCAGTCACTGAGATGATTAAGTGCTATTAAAGTGCCATAATCTTTAGTGCATTTTTTTTCCGGGTCGGTCTCCCCAATGCCTTGCCTGGCCGTCCGACTACCCGAAGGATATTGCCTACAATAACCTTAAAGAGCCCAGCCTTAACACACAGGTACGGGACAATCAGTCACTGAGATGATTAAGTGCTATTAAAGTGCCATAATCTTTAGTGCATTTTTTTTCCGGGTCGGTCTCCCCAATGCCTTGCCTGGCCGTCCGACTACCCGAAGGATATTGCCTACAATAACCTTAAAGAGCCCAGCCTTAACACACAGGTACGGGACAAACTGAAAATTCCAGCTAACAAACTACTATGGAGAGCTAGATTAGGGTGGCACCCAGAGAAATTTACATCTCCACTATGTCTGGACTGCTTTCAAGATAATACATTGGAGCATTATATAATAAACTGCACTAAATATAAATTGGAGAGGAAACCCATTGAGGAGTTTTTTATAAAACGCAAACAACAAATTACTGCAAACAAATGTTTAAATGTAGATAGCAATAAAGACATCCAAAAACTGGTTAAACAATACCTTATTAAAACAAATCAAAACTAAAAGATTAGGGATTTACTCAGTATAACAGAAGGAACTGATGAGATGGTAACCCCAGACATCCTAGAGTCAGAAAGATAGTGTAAGTATGATGAGTGCATAGATGTGAACATGGACACATACACAAGGATGAGTGCGTGTAGTATGAGTGCATTTGTGTATAGGATGGATACATAAGACACAGTGTATGTAGGCGGATGGTACGGAATCACGTGTGGACGGAACAGTGGGAATATAGTTGTGCGAAAGGTACAGATGAATGAGTACATGGATTTAAATGTTACTGTATGCATGTATATGTGGGTATGAGTGTGCATGTGTGTATATATATGAGAGCGTGTATATTTATATATTTGTGAGTGTATGAATGACAGTGCAATCAAAGAAACCATAAACTGTGTTGCTGTATGTCTGTTCATTAATGAGAACGAATGGAATGAAGGGTGTAAGCAGCAAGAACGTCATCGCACACCATCCACCAAAACATGATACGTCAGTACCGGACAGGTCACATACCAGTAACGGGACATAGCTTAAAAGTGACACGACCAGACGAAATTACAGACAAAGCGACACAACACGCATAAGACATGGAAGAGTGAATATCACTACGTGTGGATGTACTCGTTTTTTTTTAATGAATGTAAGTACAGGCATTGGTAAACGCATATGAAAGAGTTTGCGTGTGTACGTAATGTCAATTAGGTATGCATATTCGGATAAGTATGAAAGGACGTACAAATATGTAGTGTTGTCTGCATTTATGAGTACTCGAGTGCATGTACGCATACACCTAGTTGGGTGCGTCCATATACTCCGGGGATTCATAAACAAAACCATCCCACTCCACAGCATGCATACAACATGCACATGACCGACAGGACTCATAACAAAAATATGACTGACAGCAAATAGGGAATACAAGTGACTCGATAATGACAGGACTAGAACGCATAACCTCCAATACCACCCCATCACTGGGATGATAGCAAAGGTTGGTAACGTGATACACATAGTCCCGGCAAAAAGCCACGCTAGAATCCAGCAAGACGGCAACGACGAGAATTGACTGAATGGCCACCCGCTCCCCTTCCCCCACCTTTCCCTAAATCTTTCGGATGCACTATGAGTTTAACCCCCCAACCCATTCCCACAGAGAGCACTTGAGTTCGTTGCCCAACATGCCACAACAATTCTCATCGCCGATCATTTGGATCTCAAAGCGTGAGCTGGACGGTCCGGTTATATGGTATTTACGTACACCGGAGCTTAGCTATCAACACAACCCGATCACATAATAACAAATGACGACTGGACCCGCTTAAGACTCCACACAAACTCTCACACACATATCCAATACATGACTAACCCGTTCATATTACAGGAAGACAACTATAAGACCACTATGGTCACACGCGGAAAATTTTCACATTTCGGAACTATTCACATTCAAAAACTGTTTTCAGTACTTTTTGACAAAATTAAAATACTCAAAATTTTAAAACAATAAATGGTGGCCGAAAGGTCGTTGTGTTTGGAAGCTCGCTCCCCTTCGAGATACGCCTAGCCAGATCAAAGGGAGACAGAACAAACAGGAAAGAAACACCAAGAATGAAGAAGGAAGACATGCACCAGTGACAACAGGACGAGCGGTTTGATACGGAGGGAAGCATTAAGCCAGAAATGGCACAAACACCAGTATTCAGTCACGAAAGTGACACAAATAACCCAGACCACAAATATAGGCGGAGACTGTTAGCAGCCTAGGCTAGCTAGCAGCAGTCTGAACGTGGTCGAGCTTTTCTTTTTTTTCTCAAAAGGACTTGGACTTGGACTTAGGTGTAGCAGTTGTGTTATCATCCATTTTCGTCCTTATTAGGACGAAATTTTTTGTCATTTAAAGCCCTACCCTGGCTTTTGCCAGGGGCCGCAATATAGGCAGGCCATACATATGGCCAAATGTCTGAACGCGGTTTCTGGGACCTCTCCACGGCGACCCTCATCCGCATGGTGGCACTTTGTGTCATCGGGTGTTTATCGCTTGTATGATGTCCTGGTGGGGTAGAAATTCAGTCAGTCAGTCAGGTGTAGCAGCTGCCTAAGCTTACCACGACCTCCCCTCGAGAAATGACTGAAGCATCACTGGTATTGGAACTCTGCACTGGCTGCTGAAGATGGGGACGGAGAACTTATGGGAATGCCCCGAGTGCTGTGATGTCAGTTCTTGAATCAACTCAGCTCAACGTAATTCTTATAGAAATGCTTTCAAGAATCTGTCACCTGAAGCAGAATCAACTTTTGTCGACACTTGTCAGAAGTGGAAACTACTTCTGTTGCAAACAAGTTGCATTATTATTATTCACGTTTCCCTTATTGAGCACTCAATGTTTTCTTTGCGCTGGTGCCCTGAAAGAAGACCTCGTGAATTAACTCACGGATAACAACAGTCAACATTGCTCCTTTTTTTTCTGAAAGACTAGTGAAACCTTCCCACTTTATTAGTTCAATATTAACAAATCACGCGGACCATGAACTCCATTCACTTTCTGTGTTACTCCCGGGAAAACACTACTTTTGGATATAGTCTTCTCAGGTTAGACAGAAATGCTAATCTAATGAAACAACACGATTAACATTTCACAATAAAGGACTTGTTTCCCTGGCTAAGGACTGTTGTTTTTCAGAAAGGAAGCTCACATTTTCTGTGCGTCTTTAGGTCTCCAGGTTTAGTCTAACAAGTGTGCTTTCTTCTTCTTTTTTTTGTGTGCCTGTGGTTTTAACTTCAGTTGAATATTTACTTATGCAGGTGAATTTATTTCTTATATTACGCCAGTGTTTTAATGATGTGTAATATTTCCGACTGACATCCTACATGATATGAGCATTGAGAAGAATTGGCTCGTCAACAGCATCCTGTCCGAAAGCTCAAGTTTTCGGCCATGCTAAGCGGCATGGCGGCATGGAGAGAACGGTGATTGATAGTAAAGCTTCCGGAAAACGAGGCAGACCTCTGTGAAAGTGGATACAAGAATTTAGAAAAAAAGCATGTAAAGTAACGAACCATTTTCAACACCTTCAAGCGTTTTGGGCACATATGGCTAGACCTATATTTCATATACTAATACGCACTGGGTGGAATATGTGGACGTCAACACGTCGGTCGCCTTTACTTCACAAAACTATGAAAGCACATAGGGCTGGAGAGCTGGATATAGAAAGATTTTTAGGCGTGATGCGACGAGAGCGACGTTCTCTAAAAGACCTACCGATTGAAGATGATTAATACTTCCAGATACTGTAGTGTTGTGGCTAAAGGCTCACTTGCCGGCTCTAAAGTCCTGGGTTCGAATCCCCATCGAGGCAGATTTTTAAAATATCAAATGGTTCCTGGTCGACCTAGCCTTAAATGGGCGCCAGGTAATTTTCTGGAAAGCAGAAGAGGCCGGTGTGATGGTGACACCGTCACTCACCGATTGTGGTTCGGTCTTTAAAATTGGAATTTACAATAATATGCACGATGGCGTAAAAAGGGCCCCTTACTTGTGTCGTTTTACTAATGTTTCTAGAAAACTTAGCACAAAACCAAACCACATCGAGCAAATAATTAGGGATTTATTTCAATAAACAACAACTATGTAATCTTCTATTTAAAAAAAAGCAAATACTGCATTTAGTACCAACATACAGGATATTTGACACTTGTGCTGCAAGGTCTATCGAATTTGTTGTGAAATGTGGACGTATTTTCTGTGTTCAAGTATTTGGATTTAAACATTCTTTACTTCTGCTCATCAAAGATCAATGACACATTTGGCCAACTCAAATATTTAACGTAAGTACCAATCTTTTGTATACTCCACTTTTTTGTTTAACAATAACACAAGCTTGGTCTT